CTAATTCAAACTTTGAAATCTTCAAACTCCTAGAGATCCTGCCACCTGCGCAGGATTAATCCCTGATCCAGGAAATACTCCATTCATACTTGTCTCATCACCACCTAACATTTCCTCTACAAACTCCCCCGGGAAAACAAGACATGTACTTACTGGAGTTAATGGGAAACGCTAAATTCAATTAACACATTGCATATGATTTAATTTTAAATATATATAACTGAAGGTGAAGCATGCATATAAGAAAAGTACTTTAACCCATTTCTTCTTTAAAATTCTCTTCATTCATTGGAGTCTACTTCTTCCTATCGTGATTTTTGTTCTCCAAACTAGTGATTCTAATCACAAAAGTTCAGAGGCTCTCACAAGTGAACAAAGCCAACTTCCATTTTGTATGTCAAAAATCCGAGGAGACAAAAGAGAAGTGTAAGTAGATTTACATCACTGCCTCAGACTTTTCTTTAGAAGAACGGCCCACTTTTCAAAAAGTTCCTCTTTCTAACAGAAATAATTTTGCAAGTTTAAGTAAAGAGGTTGCTGGGTGGGTTTTTTTGTTGTTTTTTTAAGACAACGTATTTAAGAGTGAGCTTTAAAAGTGAGGTCCTGGGAACGCATTACATTTCTGCTTGGGTTTGTTAATGAAGAATGCCACTATATGGTTGTGTGATGGGTAATGCTTAGTTCATTACTCACTGACATGTGCCTCGATACCATCAACTCCACAACCAAATTTAGCCCTGTTATAAGCAGATGTAACTTCGCTGGAGTCAATGGGATGAGTTTGCATCTGCAGACGGAGAAGTTGGAGAGTATCACCCTTTCCTGGCAACTCATCGCAGCCCGGTTCCTCCGCTGCTCCAGCCCGGGCGAGCCCGGACTTTGCCCGCAGGTTTTATCCTGCTACCGCCGCACCGCTCCCCAGCCCGCTACCGGTCCGCCCTCCCGAAACCCTCCTGCCGGGGCAAGGGGCGATGGGGCAGCTCCGCCGTCACATCAAACACCCTCCCTGGGAAGGGCCGGATCTCGCCGCCAGCCACGGCCGGAGCCCCCGGCGCCGCCGCTCGGCGCTAGCGCACTCCGGCCCGGCCCCGTGTCTCCCGGCGGCCGCGGCCGACCCACGGCACCGTCCCGTCCCTCCCCCGCGCACGGAGGACAGTGCCGGCCCCCGGGGAGACGGCGAGCAGGAGCGGGATGGAGACTTACTTGGGGTTAGAGGAATTCCAATATATGGGATCTAAAACGATGGACCGCGCTAGTGCAGTTCTGCATAAAACCATCACGGCTCCCCAGCAGTACTTCCAGGCGGAGGCATCTCGCCCCCGCGCTGCCATGGTCGCAGGCGGCACCGAGTCCCTCCCCGGAGCCTCGCCAACTCCGCCGTGCGTCTTCCCACGCACCTGAGCGGCAACAGCAGGATGGGTGCCTGGTATCCCAACAGACGGGATGATTGATAGGAAAAATAAGAATTAAAAAAAAATTAAAAATCAGTAAGAGTCGACGATGCACTTGGCGAGAGCTGTAAGCGGATCTACTGAGTCATGTATGCCACTCGCATGTAGGAATATCTCCTGTGAGGTCAGATCCAAGCTACCTCCGAAGTAACAGCAATAACAACAACAACAACAAAAAAAATATGCAAATGCCTTAGTCCTTCTTCTTAGTGAGGGTCTCCCGGCTGCCTTGGAAGATGCCACTCAAGCTGCCAACTCCCATTTGGATCCAGAGCGCCATACGCGTTCACAGTGTCTAAGGCCCGCGTGAAAAGGAGTAAAACAAAAAATAAATTAGGAAAACGTAAAATAAAGGGTGGCGGGGGAAAAGGACGCAGGTTCGGCGGGCGGCTCCTCCTGTATGTCTCTCACTACTCCCCGCAGTTTGCAATCCGCACGGGCACCAGCCCGGGCTGTTCCGGGCAGCTCGGAAGCAACCGCGAGTCAATAAATCCACTCCGAGTCAGCTCCGCCAGTCCCGGGGAGGCGCATCCGCAGGGCTCCGGCTTCCCCGAGGGGCACTGCTGTCCTTGTCGCCGGCAAAGACCACGGAGCGGAGCAAGGAAAGAAACAGGGGCAGATAATAATGACTACAAAAAAAAAAAAAAAGAGACCAAAACGGGGGGGGGCGGAGGGGTCGCAGCGTCAAAGCGTTCCTCTCCCGCTGCGCGACCTGCAGCGCGCGCCGCGGCGGCCGACTGAGAAGGAGGAACGACAGGCGCGGGACTCGCGCCGACGCGCAACCCGCCGCGGAGGAGAAGGAATGGAGCGAAGAGAAGCGGCGCCAGCCACTAACGCTCCCAGCGCGGCGCTTCCAACCCTCGATGCCACCGCTGCGAGTCCCCGGCGCAGGAGCGCGGCCGGCGGCAGCGCGCTGCCGTAGCCATATAAGCGCGGCCCCGCTGCCCCGCCGCCGCCGCTCATAGGGCCGCCGGCGGGCCGCCGCGCTGGTTGGGCGCCGCGCCTGTCACTTACCGCCGAGCGGCGGGCGGGGCCGCGCCGAGCCGGCCGAGCGGGCCGGCAGGTAACACCCCCGGCCCCGCCGCGGGCGGCCTCGGCCCGGCGTGCGCGGAGGGTCCGCTCGCTCTGACTCACACCGGGGCTGTGCGGGAGGCGCGGCGGGGCCAGATGGGGCGAAATCAGGGGGGAGAAATGAAATTAAATAAGCATTAAAAACCAGCCTTTGCTAAAACTGTTTCCCGAGTAGGCTGCCGTTCGCAGAGCGGGGAGCGGCGGCAGGGCCGGGAGCCCCTCACCCTGCCCCCCCGGGGGAGCGCGGCTGCAGGCGCTGCGCGGCTGCGGCCACCTCCGCGCCTCGGGGCGGGAAAGGGCCGGGCCGCGTCCCCACTGGCGCGGAGCTTCGTGCTCAACTTTCTGCGGGTTCCTTGCCGGGAAGGAGGCCTGGGGGTGCTTCCGCGCCAAGTTCCCACCGGCCCTTCCCACGGCTTCTGTGAGTTTTCTAAGTTTATCTGGTTGCACGACAATTAGCCACGGGTCGTCACTGAATAAAGAAGAGTCGGACGTGCGGAGGCTTCAGAGGGATGCAGAACGGCGGGCAGTGCGGGGCTCCCGGGCCGGCTGCGAATTCCCTTGCATTTCTCCGGCGATAGCTCAGAGACTCTTTCTTCCCCTATGTATTTTCGTGGGGAGGGGGTTCGGACACAGACGCTTCGTATCCCAACGGCACGGCACCTTGCCCTTTTATTTCATTCTGTCATTAATTTCTGGCCAGAGGGAGCTACCTGCGGGCAGCACTGGAGATGCTCTCCCCGCGGCCCCGCAGGTCCCCCGGGGGTGCGGAGGGCGCCGGGGGGTCGCGGGTGCTCCCGACGCCGCGCTCGGAGCCCGACGCGCCGCGGCTCCCGCGGCACTTCCACGGGGCCACAGCTCCCACTAGCGGCCAGCGGCTGCCCGCCGCAGGGCGAGCGGCCCCCTCGGCTGTCCCCCTCCGCCGCTACCCCGCGTTCTGCCCGCTCCGGCGCCCACACGCTTCCACCGCAGAAGTCATCGGCAAAACCCAATAGGGGCGGCGGTACCGCTGCCCCGGGAGCTGGTACCGGGCTGGGAAGGCTGCTCACTGCGACAAGAGCTGTACCGACGCTAAACACGGGTGGTGTAAATGGCATAGTCGCTCCTGTGAAATTAAGGTGGTTACCGAATTTCTTCCAGGAGGGATTTCTTGCCAAGACAGTATCTGCAGAAAGGATTAAAAGTTAAATCCCAGTAAATTACCGCTCTCTTTTCTGCCATTTCCCAACCTATTAGTCGAGGCATGCAAAGAACATCCTACCAAAAACCCTAATAAAGAGCCAATTTCGCATAATTTTATGCCTGAAGAAATATGTGTATTCACTTAAAAATCGGCTTCGTAATGGTAGTCGGCCGACTTTTAGACGAACGCCAAGAAGCTCTTATAAGGAAAACAACTAGCACTGTAATTTATTTCCCGGATAAATTTTGGAACCCAGTGTTCTCTTTCGACCCCTTTTAAACTAAACGGGTGTTTTAGCCTGGCAGAGCCCGCTCTTCCCGCTCGCAACAGAGAGGAAAGAAATTGGAAGCGCGCTCGAAGCCCCATAGATTTTGAGTTAATTGCGTTCAGTAGTTCTCTAATGGAATCTACCACTCAAGAAAACAAGGAAATCAGTTTGCTTTTCACACAAAACATCGAATACGTTTTAAGTAAACTGCTTAATTAAATTTAATTTGCAGTGAGGAAGGAATTGCAGATCCGGCGACGCAATTTGGTGGAAAAGGATCTGATTCCCGGGACGGAAACTTAGCACTCAAGTGGGAGCTTAGGTATCTATGCACACCGAGGGGCATCAAAGGAGAACTTCACCAGTGAGGGGAGGAAAGTACTTAATTATTAAACTTTTAAACAAATGTGTGGTGTGTAGCCAGTCGTGAGGAGATGTAAACACGGAGCCTGATAAATGCTTCCAGCGACAGAGACGTGTAAAATAGGTCTACCTCATTTTGTGATGCTGCTGCTGCTTCTGTTTGTTTAGAAGCAAAAGGTTACGAGCGGTGTTTTGCAGAAGTGGTGAGTAAACTGTGACCTCTAACTCTTCGTATCCTTGCTTTAAGTAAACCAGAGGAAATGAAGAGCCCTGGTATTGTCTGAAAATATCCTCTTGTAGCTAAATATATCCCACGGTTCCTATTGTCCAATGCCTAATCATTTTTACGCAAATACAGCTGTTTTACTCTACTGTCCAGCATCCTACCGATGCACACTGTAAGAGTATAAAAAGCCACGTTAATAAAATATTTTTTCAGTAAAAACCAAGACAAAACTGGGCGCTAGCTTCCGAGATAACTTAATCAACAAAGATTAAGATATTCAAAGAAAGGCGGGCTCGGTGGCTACTCTGCTCAGGTCACCTTTTTTTGGCCGAGGAACCGGTCGCTGCGGTTGGGTCGGGCCGCAGAGGTACTTAGGTTCCGAAGAGGGCCGGGCCGGGCCGGAGCGGGAGGCGGGTCCGGGCCGGGCGGGGCAGGCGGCGCTCGGGGCTGCGGCGGCGCGGAGCCCCTGGGCAGCCGCGCTGCCACCGCGCTCCTTCCCGCCGCCGGCTCTGCGCCGCTGATCGGCCTCTGCCTTTCCGTCTCCCGTCCAAGAAGCGCCTCGGAGACGGGAGAAACGGGCGAGTAAAGGCTGGGGACGGGGGTTTCAAAGCGAAAAAGACGAGCGTTCGGAACTTAGAAATCGGCTTCGGCCGCCGCTTCTCTGGGGGCTGTTTCGGGAGGAGGTCCCAGCAGACATTTCGGGTTTCGCAAGGAGCGCGGTTTCCTGACAGACGAGCGCACAGGGAGCCGGCTCTGGGGGAAATCCTGCCGCGGCCTGCGGGGCGGCGCCGCGCTCCCACGGCGCCCGGGCGGCCCGGCTCGGCGGGCGCGGATGGACGCACACATGGACGGATGGGTGGATGAGCACTGCCAGCGAGCAGGTGAGACCTGCCTGTCCCTTGCCTTTACTGAAAAACTGAGACTTTGCTGTTTGTGCCGCTTAAACTTTTATTTCCAGTACCTCACGCTGGCTTAAAAATATTAAAATCTGTTCATCACTGAATAACCTCTTTCACCTTCTTTCCAACAGTGATGTCGACATTAATTATGTAGATACGGGCTCTGGTACTACAAAATCTATAATGAAGGGCAACTAATCTGAATGGGAACAGGACTGGGCCCACAATTCCTGATATTCATTTCAACATCAGCCTAAACATGAAATTTTTGAGATGGAAAAGCTCACCATAATTCATCATTACATTAAAATGTACCCATTTTGAAAGTCAAAAAATTGTATCTCAATGGATACAATTACTGCTAAAGTCAATAAAGAGAAACGATGATTGATGCTTATTCACTTAAATGAATTATCGTTTGAACAAAAGGCCAAGTGTGCCAGATACCTGCAACAGCTCTTAATATATTATTCACAATGCAACAGTGCATTTTCTGCACTTATGGTAGAGTAAGCATACATCTAGATGTTGATTTGCCTTCAGCAGGTCTGTTTAGAACTGTAGTTTTGGTCAACATATCTTAGGAAATGATCTTCCCTTCTCCCAGATACAGCCATAGAATTCAAGCAGCCTTGTAATAAAAATCAAAGACATTCATATATCCAAACCATGCATTTTAACTGTTTGATTTGACTTATGCTGATTCTCTGCACCAGTCCTTGAAAACAAAAATATTTACAGTATTCTATGGTGTGTGATATAAAGGGTAGGAAAAATGACCTGGGATCAAGCTTCTGCTACACAACAGGCCTTTTATTGTCAAAGGGGATCTATGTCATTTCAAGAAGAGCTGATGCTGAGGTAGCACAACCCTTGATTCTATGTGTCAGTCTATGGAAGATGATTGTAAGCATGAGGTTGTTTAGTACAGAATGTTGTTTAGTCAACAGAAACTCAGCACACTTCAGCAGACTAAGAAAATGGTGAGGTGGAAAGAGTGGGATAACCCTGAAATGCACACATGGCAATACCAGCATGAGAATGGAACAGACATGCATGAAAGTCATCGTTCAGCTCCTGCTAGACTGGCCCATCAGTCTGAAACGATACCAACCTGGGCACTTCAACCATATCCTCCTGCCCTGGAATGAGTCTTAGGCACACAGGCAGCTCCACAGCTCTCTTCTGAAATAAATCCCCTCTGTAACACAACCTGGAAGGTGTTTATTGACTTCAATTTCACCTGCACTTGCACCAAGTTGAGATCTAGCAATGACAGAGCTAAGGCCCCAAATGCTCTGAAAATGTTTAATGAAATACTCCATGCAGTTAAAAGTGAGTAATAACCAACATCTCCATATTTGGTGTACATGCAAAAAATGGCAGAAACTCAATCCTGAGAGCATGTTAATAGCATTGCAAAGAGGGAGTGATCAGCTTCAGGTCAGGAAGGACATTAGGGCAAGGTGTATGAGGTGGCACATAGCTCAAGAGAAAAGGAGACATCAAATGTTAAACCTTCTTTTTCAAGACAAGATAGGAATGGATGAACTGTTGATACTTTAGTGAGGTTATACATATGAATGCATTTGCTTGGCAGTTTAGACATCTAACGTAATTGTCTATGCTTTGCTAAGCTGCAAGGATGCCATCCCTCCAATACATTTCTCAGGAGTTAGCTTTCAACTTGGGCTTGGGAAAAATATGATAAATGAACATATGAAGTTCAAACGGCAGTTCAGCAAATCACCAAAGTAAGAGCACATGTTTAACGTGCTGTTCTAAGGCCTTCCATGCTCCCATCTTTGCCAGACACACTGTTTCATATTATAATAACTATTCAGGACATTTATGACCAAGTTTGGGAACACTAAGATATCTTCTGTTCCCATATAAGGGAAATCAATACTGCACAAGGCAGGTGGCAACGAAAATGCCTACCTGCCTCTCTGGGATGGTCAACAACATAGAAAACTCCAGAACAACCCAAAACTTGCCTAACCAAAATTTGAAGTTCAAACTGTAATGAAATAAAAATTAAACATTGAACACAATCACCAACAGCATTTTCTCTATGCAGACACATGCAGGTGGCTTATGGTTAAAACACTACGTGTCAGTCTGTATTTCTGCATACTTTGCATTAAAAGGATACATATCCCAAGTTCTTACCATCAAATGTCAACTTGCCCCCTTTCCAAACTATATGCATCTATAGTTTTCTAGAAATCAACAGTATCTCTGAAGTTCTACAATAATTTTAAAAAAGAAAAGCCCACAGCAATGCAAATATCACATTCACCCACACAAGGTCTACAAAGATGTAAGACAGAATGCCTTAAGTCAGCTTCTACCCCAACAGAGGAAACCAAACCAAAGACCTAACTGCTTTTCCTTTTTTTTTTTTGAGGGCAGGGGAAAGAGAAACAGGTAGTGAAATGTGGAATGGCAGAAGAGGCAATCTCATGAGGAATGGGCATTTTGTCCACAAGATAGTCTGAGGTGGGACTAAAAATAACCTGGTAACTTCTAAGCCTACACAATATTAAATGCAGAGAACAAATGTTGCTCTTTAGCAGCAAATCATGCGATGCAGAACAAAATGCTTGATACCACAGCTGCATGTAAGATTATTTAGCTTCTTGCTTTTATAACAGGAAACAAAACTGCATAGGTCTGTTTTGAGTATTGACTTTTAATAGCTTGTTTCTCATAAGGGAACAGGGGATGTTTTCTGCTTTAGAAATACAGGTATCAGTTGATCTTTAAATACAGCCTGCTCCTGCCAACAGGTCATGTACATGATTTATTTGGCTTCAGCTTTTGTTTTTATGCATTAAACAACTTTCAACCTTCTTCTGTCATACAATATATTGACAAATTTAAGTACAGTAATAATGTAGGTATTTTACCATCTTCACATTTTCTTGACGTACTGGACAAAGCAATACACATCAGTCTGCTCCCATGCCCCGGTTTCATACAAAGCTTGTTGAATACTGCTTTCAGCAGCACATTCAACTTGCTCCCACATTTAATTGGCTAAAGCTACAGAAACAGACCCTTTGGGAATATCAGGAATTACTTCCAACTTTGTCCAGTGACATTCAAATGCTCAGGCAATTACTGGTAACTGTCATTTTGTGGTTACTACAGATGTTACACGCTGACAGGAAAAAGAAAGTTTTAGAACTGGACAAGCTATAGTAATCTAGGTTTTGGTAGAGGAACTACATATAAAAAGGGGGACCTAATATATATAGTTTTTAATCTGTAGTTTCATTTTTCAAAATAAAACCTGTATATATAAATGGATAAGATTCAAGATCTGTATAATAGTTGCTCTCTGGCTAAAACAATATATTTAGACAGAATCTCACTTTCTGTATTTCAGTTCAAATGTACTAGCCAGTCCAGTCCTTTGGGAGAAAAAACTTCCATTTTTAAATCCTTCAAGTTCCATCCGATTCATTATATGGTAATGACCTTAACTTATACAATAGATTATATTATGGGATGAACTGAAGGGGTTTAGATATCGGAAGTATCAATCTGGGTGCAGTAAGCCAAACAGCCATTTAAACATGATACGACAGCTGAAATAAGTCTCTGTCAGAACAAAAACCAACATTCATAAAAACAGCAGCAGCCATCAATAACATTCACAACTGCAGGGATTTTTTACTGTGTGTGATTTTGCATTTTAAGTAAAAGCCACAATAGTTTAAAGCAAAATTTAAAAAAATATCACTATAGTCCTGAATTTAATAATGTGAATTGTCACTCTTATAGCTGTTTATTGAAGTGTACTAAAAAAAATTTACTTAAACATACGTATTTAAGACTTTAACTTTATTCAGCAAATTGGTTTATTTACACAATGGGGAACGCTGGTTGAATGCTGTCAATGTAATAAAAACAAATCTAACAGAGACAATACTGAACTCTCTCTATGTATTCATAGCAGAAATGACAAACTATTTCCTTACCTGTATCAGGAACATCAAGCGCAACAACGGGACAGTATCATAGGACACTGATTTAACAATAAACCACAGAGGTCCAGTAATACTATGGCAATTTACTCATGTATTTACTGACTTTAAAATAAAAACATTAAAAGTCAGCAATACCCAGTAAAAAGTTCTGTCAATTATCAGAGTCAAACTCTGATGAGTAGGTCAGTAAAACCTTATCAGATCATCCACAGTTCATAAAGTTACATGAGTTGCTTCAGACCACCAATACAGAAACAAAATTGATGAAAACAGATTATCCTCTAAAAAGCAACGATGATCTGATAAGGGTTTAACTTAATGGAAGTTAAAAAAAAATAAGAATTGCAGAGCACAGCCCCTATTAGAACAAGCTAACTTTCATAAAAGACAAAAAAATTTGAGAGAAAGAAAAAAAACAAAAAAACACTTCAACATGAAGCTACCATACAAAGTTTTTTTTTGTTTTCCTGGTTTTTTTGTTGTTGGTTTTTTTTGTTTATTTTTTTTCTTTTAAGAGTTCAGAGTTGAAATTTAATCCTGGCTTTTTAGGGAGAAGGACAGTTTTGGCCTAGACTTTCCTTTGCCCAGGATAATTTTTTGCTCTTCCTTTTGCTGACGCTGTCTCTCTTGTTCTAGTTTCATCCTCTCCTCATGAATCTTTCTTTGTTCTTCAACAATTTTCAATTGTTCTTCAGCCTATACAGGAAAATGGTAAAATTTAGGCCAGCATATTTTGTAGTCATAAAAGCAATTTACAAGTCTATATTAACTTCCAAACAGGTGGAATCCTGCATAAGTATGTAAGCAGTTCCACCTGAGCTGGGTGCCATAGTTGGTTTCAGTGAAACCATTTATAAAATGGTTATTTGAATTGAGTTTAAAAGAAACACTGAGAACTTACTACAGCTAGTGTATCGAAATCTGGAGTGTTTACATGCCAAGTTTTTCAACATTGCTTTGGAAACAACACATTACATTTTAATTAAGGAAGACATTAGATATATACAGAAATTGTCCCAACACTTGTCACTTGTGTAAGCTGAAGTACCATACACGCATAACGAAATCACATTATCTTCATGCTGAAGTATCTCTGCTCCAAAACCCATCTAAAAACCCCTCCTAATCCAAAACCATCTTCACTTGATTTACACCTAGTCAATCCTTACATTGACCTATGGTTCTTACAGCACTCCCAGTGGTCTTCTAAAGGTGCTTATTTAGTTCATTATATCAGTCAATACTTTAAATTTTCCATTTGTCCTGTTTCTACCAGAAGAGGTTGAGAAAAGGGTAAAACAGAAAGAAATCTAAAGTAGATGTAGCTCAAGCAGATTTAAGAAGCCTCATTTTTATATGAAAGAGGTGTAATTACTTGGGCAATTGA